CATAAGAATGTATCCAACATGTTTTATAAAAGTTCAAGAAGTTATTTAACATGTTTTGGATTGTTCAATGACTTATTTGTTCCAAAAATTGTCCAAGAAGTTATTTAACATTTTTTGGAATGTCCAAGGACTTATTTGTTCCAAAAATTGTCCAAGGACTTATTTAACATATTTTGGAATGTCCAAGGACTTATTTGTTCCAAAAAATTGTCCAAAGACTTATTTAACATGTTTTGGAATGTCCAAGGACTTATTTGTTCCAAAAAAAAATCCAATGACTTAATCATTCTAAACAAGAAAGTCCATTGGTTTTTATTGTACTTTTCTCATATAATAACTAAGTATTCTGTTACAACTCAATAATTATATTAATTAAATTTAAAATAAGAATTTTATCTTGTATTTTATTATATTTATCTACAGCTAGTTGCACGAATTCAAACATGAAGCTTAATAAGTTATATTTACGCATAATTTATTTGTAATCTTGAACTTGAAGTAATATACATAAGCAGTACTTCACGTATAAAATAAGGTTTTTAAGAGTTTTTATCAAATATTTTATAATATAATATAGATTATCTAACTATTTTATTTTAACTGATCTTCATTTACTTTTATGTATTTTGAATATGTGTTCTCAATTTCAAAGATTTTATGCATCAAATTGTGAACTTAGATTTGTTGTTTTTGTTGCTTATATCTTGTCAAATATTAAAAAAAAAAAAAAACCTTGTTGTCAATTGATTGCAAATATTGATGTATGTATGATAATGATAGAGTGAACTCCAAATTTGGTCCCTGTGGTTTGTGATAAATAACACTTTTTACCCTTATAGTTTCAAAATTATAACACGATCATCATAGTTCGTAGAAAAGTCCAGATTTGGTCCATTTCTCTGTGATGACCGTTACAAATTTCCATTCAACAAGGGGCAATTTTATCTTTGTATTTTTTTTTTCCTCTTAAACAATTAAAACCCACATGGACAGTAAAAATAAAATCGATATTGATTGAGTAAAAAATAAAAAAAATCGATAAAAATATGAAAATGTCTCTTATTTAACGAAAAATTTAACGGTTATTAAAAAAATGACCAAACCAAGACGTTTTAAGAAATCATAGTGACCATTTTAATAATTTTAAAACTAAAATGACGAAAAACATTAGTTTCCATAAACCACAGGGACCAAATCTGTAGCTTAGTCTAATGACTAAAATGCCCTTTTCTGCCTTCAAAAAGGAAAAAGCGTTTGTAAAAGACAAATTAAAAAGGCCCACAAAATTACATCCACAAACTAATCTCATCCTCAATTTGGTATTTTCCACTTTCATATAACCAATAAAAAAACTAAATCCTTTTTTATATAAATTTAAATATTTTATTAAAGAAATTATATTTTATATTTGAATAAATAATGGTTGAGTGAATATGGACTCGTAAGTTGAATAGCTGGTAATAAGCATGACAATGGCCTCGATTCGTCAAGGAACCCAATTTATCTGTCGTGATCAGGGACGGGGATTCTTTGCTAAATCGGGGATGAGAACGGGGATCTTCGTTTATTTCAAACCGGGGACGGGGACGGGGACGGGTATCGTACTCCCCGCCCCGCTCCGTACCTGTTATACATATTAATTAATAAATTTTATATATATTTATGCATATATATGTGTATATTATTTATTTCAACTAAAACAGTAATTCATAATTCTATTTCCTAACTAAGTTTATAATCTAAAATTGTTGTTTTTTGGATATTAATATGTAATATTTTGGATGTCAAGTCAAAATACAATTACTCGATAAGTTTTGTATATTACTTGATTTGGTTTTATATTACTCTATATATTTTGGTACACGTGACTTTAAGTTTTTTTGGATTAAAATGATTTTTTTTTGTTTTAGGTTATTAATTCTTATATGATGTTGTGGTTTTTTTGTATTAAATTAAATTCATTTTGGTTTTATGTTTATTGAAAATGTTTGAGATTTAGACATGTATGGTCTTTCACATATTTAATTTAAAATAACTTACATAAAAGGGAAAAAAAATCACCGTTTCCGATTGAAGATGGGGATGTGATTATATTCTCCAACGAGGATGGATGTACTCACCCCATTTCCATACCTAGCTGGTAAACAAACTCTAAAAAATATGGATACTGATATTAAATTAAATTAAAGTTTATATAGTTCTAGTTTTTTAAATAATTTATATAATTCAGAATTTTGTGCCATTCTAAATATTTATTTTCAGTGATGAAATATTTTGTGGATAATAATAATAATAATAATAATAATAATAATAAAGTATTATGTTGTATTAAAGCTTAATAATTGTCGTATTAAAAAAAGGCTTATTTATTTAATGTATTGTGCATCATTAAGTAACAACATACATAGCATCTAATATTTAGAGATTATTTATAAAGTGGTTATTGGATAAGTGTTTACGAGTGTTGTTTACATTTCATGTGATCATGACGTAGGCATGGAATCTTACCTATGGATTTTAAATTACCCAATAACTTTTAAATTACAGGAACTAAAAAAGTAATGAATTATAAACCACAAAGATGAAAATTGTAATTTCAAAACCATAAACGACTAAAAACGTAATTTAGTCAATTAATATTGATGAGAGATATATAAAGTAAAAACAATATTTTTATATACACATAAAAATATATTATATATAGGCATATTCTTTTGTTAACCAAGACATTGATGTTAACTTTACAGATTCATCTGAACCGTTTATTTTTTTGATCAACGGTTATGATTAAAATGAATATATTATATATTGATTAAAAAGGAAACATATTAAATGAAATTAAGTCGATGGTAATTTTGAAACAAATTATGTCGTATTTTTTGAAAGATAATTATAGCTTCATTTATCCCTAAAATAAGCGGGTTTCATTTATATTTCTTATTTGGAATCTGCGTTGATGCATTTATGGTTATGATTTAGGTGTCATCCATAAACTTTGATTGTTCCAATTCTTTATTAAAATTCATAGGTGAAACTAGAAAGTTTATAGGTGAACGATAAATTTGATTTAAAATTCATAATGTTTTTCGTGCTGGAACTTTAATTGTTCCAATTTTTTTACTAAAGTTCACAAGTGAAACCAAAAAATAAACGAGATAATTAAGAATGTCTAACAGAGTTTGTAGATGGTACCACAAGGTTCATCAGTGAAACGCTGATTTTTGTTTAAAGTTCATAGGTAAAAAAACAATGATTTTTGTTTAAAGTTCATAGGTGAAACAATGTTTTTTTTTTTCACAGGTGAAACAATGAGTTTGTTTCGTATATGAATTTTGGTTATTCCAGTTTTTTTTAATCAAATTTTATAGGTGAAACAAAAAAATGAATAAAATAATTAAAGAAGTTTAAACAAGTTTATAGCTAAAACCAAAAAATTTATAGGTGAAACAATAAATGAATGAACTTTAAATAATAATTTTTAATTTTTAATATTTAATGAATGTGATAATTAAGTGACGAAACAAAATATTTTAAGAATATGATAATTAAGAAATGCAATAATTAAGTGAATGAGATATTTATGAGATGTGGTATCAATATACAAAAAAAATAAAAATGTCCCGATTGACAAATTTAATACTAATTAAAAAATCAAATCATATCTTATTTATTTAGAGCGAAAAAAATAAGACATGGTTTTATGATTTGATTTGTTTAGATTAAAAAAGTAATTATGTTAAAGACACAATTTTTGTTTCTATCATTGCAATAAATAAATTTATCATCGATATTTTAACACCAAAATAATTGAAAATCATTAAGAAATGAACTCCATTTTTATCATCCTACAATTAGGGTTTCAGGTTTTCATATTGTTCTTCATTCAGAAATTCAAAATCAATTATTTAGATTTTAAATAAAAAAAAATTTCACAAATACTATCATATTTGTAACTTAAAATTGAACAAATCATTTTAACCAAGTTTTCATACCTAAATAGGCAAAAATACCAAAACCATAAAATTAAATCGTATTTAATATAATTATTTTTTTAATATAAACAAATCAAATCATAAAATAATGTCTTATTTTTTTTTTGGATATATATATATATATACACATAGAGAGAGAGAGATTGTTTCAAATGCAATCCATCACATTTGTACAACTAATGCAACTCAATAAATTGAAATATTTACGAAAATAATGAGAGTTTATTTATTATGATTTAAATATTTATGAAAGATAAATAAGGTTCATTAATTATGATCAATACTATATATTAGAAAACAAACAAAACTTCTATGAAATTATATATTCATCAAATTAAATGGATGGTTGAGATTATGTTGTATTGGTTGGACAAATGTAAATGATTGTATAATAACTCACCCCTCTCTCTCTCTCTCTCTATATATATATATATATGTGTATAAAAATATCGTTTTACTTTATATAGGAAAAAGACAAAAGAATGGATAAAAAAAGCCAAATGACCATTGATTTGATGAAATCAGTGAAGACGTTAGTTAGATGGACCATGACGAATACATATATGTGTAAATATCTTTATTTATCTAATTATTTTAAAAAAATCCTAAATTCTAATAAGTCGTACCAGTTTCCAATTTCTAAACCTGATATCGATTTCATTAATTTTATTGAATTCCTCCTTAAAATCAATTACGTATATTATTTTGTATATAACAATACCAAACCCGACTGATACCAACCTAAATCTTGTCCAACTCAAACCCAAAACAATCCAAAAACCTAAAGAGATTTGACTTCCATGTCCAAAATCCGATCCCAATTTTAATTCCCTAAATTCTAATAAATCTTCAACTTCATTTTGAAAAAGAATTAGCAAAATTACATAAATTTTTTTATTATTTTTCGAAATTGAATGTGTTAAAAAAGTAATATTATTTTATTGTTTTAATTAATTAAATGTTAGAAATTTATTAAATACTATATTTAAAATATATATTAAAGAAAAATAATTGAAGTTTATTGAAATAGTAAGAGATTGTTTGTTTATCTCTTAATACTTCCATTAAAAGACAATATCTGAATTGATAAGCGGTAAATTTTGTTTGATAAAAAAAATCTATTTTTTAATGATTATAAAACCCTCTGAATGATTTTGTATCTTGTATCTTCCTTATTTATTAAGCGTCTTAATTTTATTATAAACAATTATCAAATAATTTTATTTTATTTTATAATATATTATAAAAATCTCTTAATCATTATGTACAAACTATTCAAGACTTTCTAAACATATTATAATCGGGCGTTACGTGTTATGGATAAAAAAGATCAATTTGGAGGTTACAATTGGATGTAATTAATTTTCGAAGAAACCGTTACAATTGAATAAAGGGCTTTTCCGAGAAAAAAGCGACGTCGTTTTGTGGATGGCACCTGACTGTTACCTACATAATGGGATCCATACATATATAGGAAGAAGAGGCGCCATACAAATTGCATTTCTGGGAAAACCTCTCAAAGTTCTGATACAAACCCTAACCCAAATCAAACCAGCATTCAATGGCGTCTCTAGTGTTGCCATCGCCATCATCATGCTCCACTTCTTCTTCTTCTTCGCCGTTTTCTCGGTGCTCTTTCGGCCGTGGTTTCATTTGCAACGACGCCCGTATCCCTACCTCTGCTAACAACATCGTAAGTTTTCTTTTGACATTTCTGCTTCAAGTCCTGTTTTCTTGGAGGAAATGATGGAGAAATTAGGAAAAAAAAAAACGAGAAAGGATTTTGTTTTTTGGTTTTCTATAACGTTTGCGTGCTTCTATCTGTTGGTATATCTGTAATTTGTTCTGTTACGGTGTTGCTCGTTTTTTCTGTCAAACGGAACTGACAATTTTTTTGTATCTTAATTTGTCGGTTCGCGCATCTTTCATCTGATTCTCACATTGAATACAACATTTATAATTTCTGGAGGTAATCTGGGGATGTTAAGTCCAGTTTGCTTTTGGTGAGGCAATTTTAAGATCCGATGAACCGTTGGAAAATGAAGAAAATTAAAACTTCGGTTTCAATTTTTAGATACAGGAGTTCTGTGTTTGACCTATTCTGCTAGATTGATCAAGTTTAGAACAAACAGTTACCTTGAATATATATATTGAAGGTGTGAACATAAATACCTTTAAACGACGTAAATTTAAGGTAAATCATGATGCTTCTTTTGAGATGATATAATGAGATTAATGTTGATTTGTTTTTCTCTAAAGTTTTGCATAGTTTTGCCATTAAGCATTTAGATTGTCGCATTTGGGCCCATTCCCTGGTTGGTAATACCTCGGAAGTCATGGATTTAAATGTTCCCTCCTTTCCCTCTTAAATTTATGGGTATATGTATGGGCACATGTAGGAACTATTTTTTCACACAACACATATGCGAAGGCCCACATGCACTTTTTAGGGGATGGCTTTTATGAATTTAATATATGAATTGCCCACTGTTTCATTCCAAATAAAAGCAAAATGTGACCTTGGAGATCAAACATGCAACTTTTCAACTTTAAAGGTCATGTGGATTTTTAAAGTTTTGAGGAAAATGATAACCACAAAAAGGGTTGATAACAAATGAGAAAAAATAAGTTATTAGGTTAACAAATCCATGCAAGAACTACTAGGTTTAGCTTTAAGATTAAAGTTTTTTGGATATGGGAGTGTCAGAGGGAGTAATCAATTTTATTTTTCCTTTTAATATGAAATTTTGTCAATTCACTTTTGAGTCCAACATCTTCTCTCTTAAGAAGTGTGGAGGTGCTAAGTTTCCATAGTTGAACTATGGGGTATATAAAGTTAAGAGATTGATTGAGGTGTGCTGTTTTTTGTTCTAGAGGTGTGAGATTAGCAAATCATTGAATGGGAAGCCATTTGTACCAATTATTAATGACGGGATGCTGTCCAACTTCATGCAAGCTGGGCGCTTGGATCATACTGTTGTGAATGGGAAGCTTAAAATATTCTCTGGCACTGCAAATTCTGCACTCTCTGAGGTATTATATGTTTTTATTCAAAAGATATGGTAATTTCTGTAGCTTCATGGTAAGGTAGCCATGAAGTGTCATGCTGCTTGTTTCCTGTGTTAATAGGAAGACTTGGAAACAATATGATCACTTTGTCATTTGAAATGACCTTTGTCAGCTTACAATCAAATTGAAGGTGGGCAGGTTTTGATTCTTTCAATGTGACAAAGCAGAAGAAATGGCTACAAAGTTAAATCATTGTTTCTAATCTTTAATGTACATCATGTTTTGGAATGTATAGTTCTATACTCCCCATGTCCTCATAATTTGGAAAAAGTTTAAACAAATAGATGAATGTTATGCTTACTCCATTATCACTATAAAGTCCAAAGTGCATTTATTGTGGGACATAGGTAGTGTCTTATTTCTTAGTTCTCAATCACTAATACTACCTTTTGTCAGAGAATCTTCTTCTCTGTAACTAATGCCATTTATAACTATGTTTTTGTATGTCTCTACAATTTTTTTGCAAAGAAACGGGAAGGAACTTTGTGAGGTTAATTAGTGATGAAGATCCAACATTTGATTGTATCTGAATCATAATTCAGTAGTTTTGATTTACATAAAAGCACTCAGCCTCTTGGTGCTTGCTTAACAGTAAAAGCATTTGACGATGAATACTTGTACATTGGATCTATAAATCTCTTTGCTGAATACCAAGTTTACCCTTATTCTAGTTGGTCTTGGTTACTGTTTTTTTTTTGTTTTTTTTCTCCGCACACGGTTGCATTATATCATAATTTAAGGATATTGTTTTGTTAAGTCTATGAAATTTCCTCATATTTCCTGTTCTTTTATTTATTTTATGCTATGTTTTCTAGTTTGTTAACTTCCTTTTGTGTTTTAGGAAATTGCGAGGTATATGGGCCTTGATCTTGGAATGATTGAGATAAAGCGGTTTGCAGATGGTGAAATTTATGTTCAGCTGCAAGAGAGTGTGCGGGGTTGTGATGTGTATCTGGTGCAGCCTACCAGTCCTCCTGCAAATGAGAATCTCATGGAGCTTCTAGTAACAATTGATGCTTGCCGAAGAGCATCAGCCAAGAACATCACAGCCGTGATCCCTTATTTCGGATATGCTAGAGCAGATAGAAAGGTGAACTAAAATTTGGATTAATAGTAGATGAACCGAACTCATAGGAGTCTAATTCTCTTCCATATTGAGGCTGTGAGAGTATGTGAATATAAACATCTAATGGAATTACAAGGATTGATATAGTTTATCTTCTAAGATCACCTTGTGTGCACCTGTCTTCTTTTTTTTGTTTTTTCTGGTTATATTCTAATTAAGACTCTTGCATATCTTCCATCTTATTAGGCACATCCTTATCGTGCATTCTTGTTTAGGATCATTTCTTCTTGATCCCATGAGTAAGCAATATATGATCTTACATTTGCTTAGTTAGTGGATCATACTGTCACAGTTGGTGCCTTTGAAAGCTCGGATCAATTTGCATGCAATATTGATATATAAGATGTAACATCTAGTGATTTTGATGCTGGCTTATTCTTCTAAAATGTTTCTACTTGCTTCAGACTCAAGGGCGTGAATCTATTGCTGCCAAGCTAGTAGCAAACCTCATTACAGAAGCAGGTGCAGATCGTGTACTTGCGTGTGATCTTCATTCTGGGCAGTCTATGGGATATTTTGATATTCCAGTGGACCATGTGTACTGTCAGGTAATTAGTTCAACATATTGATATGTTTGGAAGTCCTTCTATTTATGCTGATAGTGATGTGTTTCATTTGTTGGCCTTTCCCCGCCTTCCACAAGCCTGTTATTCTTGATTATCTTGCCAGCAAGTCAATTTGCTCCAATGATTTGGTAGTGGTCTCGCCTGATGTTGGAGGAGTTGCTAGAGCACGTGCTTTTGCCAAAAAATTATCTGATGCACCTTTGGCAATTGTTGACAAAAGGCGCCATGGGCATAACGTCGCTGAGGTAGCTTCTGAAATGCAACCCTGTACCTTTCTTTTTGTCTTTCTTCCGTGCTTCATTTAATATGGGAATTCATAGTGTAAGCTATGCCTCTAAGCATTGGTGCTATAGGCATACCACAAAATGGGAATTCGAGGAAATTTATTATTCAATGTGACTGTTACATCTTGATTATTTTTTTCTACAAAATTTATCTTTTTAATGGTCAAGGTACACTTGGCCTATTAAGAGCAAACCTCAAACTAACAACCATCTGGTCAAGTGACTCGATTACTATTAGTTGGCTCAAGGGCCACCAACTAAAATCTACTTGATATTTGCTTATTCAGGGACTTGTATATAAACTTGATTTGGAGATGACAAGATCAATTGAGTTCCCATATAGTGTGTTATATTTGGTACTTAAATATTCTTTAGATTGCATCATTTTTGGTGAAGATGTTGAATTGGTATGGTTGTATTTCATGGGTAAACTCATGCATTCGAACGCTAGGTGTATTGGATTCTTGCTAGTTCTTAAAAGTTTAAAGTTAGGATTCTTTGTTTTATTAGCCATTAATCCTCAATTGTTAGTGCTTAGAATTGTTTGTATATCCTTAGGGGTTCGTACTTACTATCATGTAACAATGACCTCCTGTTATAAAATGGTCTTCTTTTGCTTACTTTTGTTTAAAAAAAGATGTAACTTGCTATGGCCTCTGAAGCTCACTTTAACTACTATTAGCACAACAAATGGAGCATTAGCAGGTTACTGGCTGAATCGGAAATTCTGTGAATTTGAATTCAGTTATTAGCATGCAGGTGATAATTCAGGGTTCAGAACCGAATAGCCTATTAATCTTATTGCTTTTATTTGTGCTTTAACTTATCAAGACAGAAAGTGAATCCGTATCTATCGACTGCTTTTTTGTAATCATTTCCATGCAATCTGCATGTACTATCAGGTAATGAATTTGATTGGCGATGTCAGAGGAAAGGTTGCTGTGATGTTGGATGATATGATCGACACTGCTGGTGAGTCATTTAATATTGTGAACCACCTGAAACTTATTGCTTACAAGTTCCCCAAGGTGAAAGCATTCAAAAAACCAAAACTATCCTTGATATATTTGCTAATAAAATTTATGTACAATATGGATTGTCATATATTTCTGCTACCTATCCATCACTTCCAACTGTTTGGATAACAATATTCTTATAAAATTTGTGTACCATTTAGTTAACTGTGTCAAATTAGTCATTCCATTGGTATAATGATCATTATAACACCAGTATACTGTGTTATTTTCAGGAACTATTAGTAAAGGTGCTGCTTTGTTGCATGAAGAGGGAGCCAGGGAAGTGTATGCCTGTTGCACTCATGGTGTTTTTAGGTAAAGTTATATGCCACTAATTTCTATTATTGTTTAAATTATCCTACTCACATGCCAATATGATTGATTATTTATCAAAATTTGATGATTTCATTTAACAAAACAAGTACCGTAAATATTTTTGAGAACTTGGGAGCCAACGATTCATGATAAATATCTTACGGTTATTCATCATGAATAGATCATGAAATAGTTGTAGTTTTAAGGTTTTCACTTCTCAGAATATTTATGGTTCTCATTTGAACCTGCCCCTCGTTAACAATGTGTCGATATCTTAGCATCTTTTTATAACAAGTAAAACAAGTACTCATTGATTCATGTTGTAATCTGGTTTTTCCTTATGAGTTATGGCGTTAAACATTTGTTTTCAGCCCTCCTGCAATCGAGAGGCTGTCAAGCGGGCTTTTCCAAGAAGTGATCGTTACAAACACAATTCCTTTAAAGGAACAGCATTACTTCCCGCAGCTGACTGTTCTTTCGGTAGCAAATCTTTTGGGCGAGACGATTTGGCGTGTTCATGATGATAGCTCTGTAAGTAGCATCTTCACATGAGCTTCGAGAAACGGGGTTCTAATTACTACTCATTTGGTCTTTTCCTATTTCAAATAGCAGTTAGCAACATTTTGTGGAGTTGATATTTGTATCGAAGTCGATAGTTTTGACAAATATTAACTGGTTATTGTTTTCAAGTGTAAAAAGGATTGGTATGCTGGTTATGCAAGCGTTGTTTGTTCTCATTTCACTATGTTTGTAATGGCAATGCTTTGAAGCGGGTGGACCGTAGGGATGACAAGGGGGGACGGGTGAACCGGGTTCCCTAACGGGTTAGGGGCAACAGGTAGGGTATAGATAGCGGCAATAAAACGGATTATTATCTATTTCGTATAACTCTTATCCATATCCTACCCTACCCATTAAAATAGCGGGTAACAAAACAGGTAATGGATAAATGATAAAACAAAATTTCAATTTTAAACTATTAATAAAATTGTTAGACTTCAAACATATAAGTAAACTTAGGTTTAAAAATAGAGTAATTATTTTTTATATTTAATTTGTTCTAGTAAACATTTTAATTACTCTAAATATAATCTTAGTATGATATTTTAAGAACAACATAAAATGGTAAAAGAACACTTTTTGTTGTATTTAACTCTTCAATCGATACTAGTTTTTTATTTAATTATCATGAATTTTTTTACTCTGTAATATAAAAAGTAAATTAAATTATACATTATATGATATTTATGATGACATTATAAACATAAATATTAATATTTAACTTAATATAATTATATGTGTGTATGTGAGTGTGTATATACATATATGAGATTGACTCAAATGACCATGTTTCACAATCAAATTAACCTCCTAATAATTTCTTTCTGGTCTTTACCGAAAAGTCATTATGTCCGCAGCACCCAGATCAACAATGATTATGAACCCACTAAAAGACAAAAAATAATGTTTTTGTGTCAGGTCCATAACCACCGGTTCGCAACTATTATGGATCCAGCCCAAAACTCATTTTTCTATGAAGGTAGACACTTGCGGATTTGACATTACGGATTCAAGGAAAATGGGTTTTGGTCTGGATCCGTAATAATTATGGACCTATGGTTACAGACCTGGGCTAAAAACTCTAAAATTTTGTCGTTTAGTAGGTCTGTAATAATTGCAGATCTAGTGAATTTTTGGTAAATTCTAGAGAGAAATGGTTGTGAGGTCAATTTGGTTGCAGAATATAGTCAATTGGGTCAATTTCCTGTATATATGGAAAGGTTCATTTAGAAAATGGTAAGTATTTGAAAAGTAAAAATGTGATCCTAACCATTCATTAGGTCAACATTTGCGGCTTTGATTGTGAAACACCCAATTAATCATCGCATGGGTATGTGAAAGATAGAAAGATAGCTTTGTAACTTTAACAAATAGGCGACAAACGGGTTCATATGTGAACTTGTGTGATTCATATATGAACTATATGCTTATATGTGAACCCGTATGAATCACACAGTTTCATATGTAAATCAATTAATTTATGAGAAATTACCCAAAATAATCACTTTTCAAAGCTTTTTTACAAAATGACTACCAAAATCACCTCCGGAAGGCGATAGGGCGATTTTGACTATTTTAGGGTGATTTTGATTATAAGGTACATATGGGTCCCATATGTATACCATTTCGGGAACAAAAATCAAATATTATATCTGAAAATGGGTAAAAATCACCCTCAAAAAGTGAAAATCTCCCGATGGGGGTGATTTTGATCTCTATTTCGTCCTCAAGTGAAAACAACTTATAACGCAACGATTTGACACATCAATGACGATTTGACGAGACATCGGGGACGATTTTCATTGATTTTTTATGACCAAATGTAATTATATATATATATATATATATATATCATGTAATGATCCAAACATTTTTACTTTCACAACCCTTGTTCAAAATGATTCTAACGACTAAATCATTGAACATATTCCGAACAACTCCTGAGAGGAGTGACAAGGTTATCAAACTTTGCAATTGATGTTATTTATACTATATATGAGCAAAAATAATGTGAAATGACAAAAACCTCTTAAATATATATCTAAAGGGGTCGTTTATCAAAAACACTTAATCGTTAAACACTTATTGATAAAAATCAATACTCTTACTTACCTTACTGGATAAGATCATAGTGCATCAAAATTGTATATATAACAATTTACTCACTTACCGACTCTCGGTCCTTGCAATCGTTCTTACCGGGTAAAATTCTCGATTCTTGTTCTTGTTTTTACAGAGTAAAATTTTCCGTCCTTATAAAGTAATCTGATAAGGTTACCAACTTATTAAGTGTTTATCGAATAAACATTTGGTAAACGACCAGATATAAATACCAAAAAGTTAACGATGTTGAAATTAGAAACCAAAATTATTTTTAGTTTGAATTTAATTGGCCCAATCGAAAATTTTGATCTCATTTTAATTTTAACGGGCCGTGGGCCGGTTAGGGTTTTGGGCACTGCCGTCACCATTGGTTTTAGGGTTTAGCTCAAGATATCCTCCTCGGTATTTATATCCCTATATTTTCTCATCTACTAACCATCTTCATCCATAGTTCCTAATGCAAGCCCTCTCGAATCGCTCCATGAATTCTATCTATCTGTTTGTATGCAGTTTCAGGTATCTGTTTTGGTTTTAGAACTGCAATGAGGAAGACGTAATGCTCCGGATACAAGTTTTGATCTTGTCTGTGATGGTAGCTATTTACCTCTAAGAAGTTCTGAGCATTTTCTCATTTTGAAACTTCTTTTCCATGAAAATGTGTTCTTGTACATGTAATTGTTTGAAGTAATTATTGGCGTGTGAAGATAGAATTCATTGGTCTGTCAATCCACTGACGAATTTCGATTGATGTTAAACAATGAATCCCGACAGGTTCTGATCGCTAAAAACTTCCTGTTCTTTTTTTTTTCATAGAGTTTTATTCATTTCTATTCGAGTTCAATTGATTCTTAYATTTGATTTTCTGATCAATTCTTCAACATTTTTTGTAGTTTGTGTTTTTGAAAAAGTTGTTTTATATTAGGCATAGGATGAATCTCAATTAACAAATGGGTAATTTGCGTCTGAATTTCATTGATGTTATATC